GAGAAAGCAACGCGGGCAAACCTCTGGGATTGGATAAAAAGTAAAATGACAGACACTTCTTTTATATAGGTGGGTACAGGATAGTTAGCAGTCAACAATTAACAAGATAACAGTTATAATGAAGGAATTTGTGGTCTCCTGTCCTGGCAGGATCTGAGGGGAACAAGCATTAATTGTTTATTAAGTTAATTATATGTTTTCCTCCTTCATCCACTTTCACTTTTATCTTATGATATGTTTGGCCAGATGAATTAAGACTTCTACTATTTTATTATCCAGAAATTTTAATTTTTCTTCTAGGCAGTTAGTTTCATCTATTCCAGTGGTTGGCAAACTGCGGCTCTTAGAGGGAGAGACAGAGAAACATCGATGTGAGAGAGACACATCGATTGGTTGCCTCCCGAATGTGCCCCAACTAGGGCCTGCAACCAAGGTATGTGCCCTTGACCTGAACCAACCCACGACCAACGCTCTATCTCGGGCCAACGCTCTATCTACCCAGCCAACCGGCTTGGAATTATTACTCATTCAGCAGAAGCTTAGAGCTGGCCTCCTGGGAAGCAGGCACACAGCTGGCCCGGAGGATTCCGTGCATGGTCCCTATCCTCAGGGGGTTCACTCTCTGGTGGAGGGGGGGAGGCAATTACATAAAGAGATGATTCCAGCATGATCTCTTTGGTCTATGGTATCTCAACCACACTGAACAGCATGGGCAATCCTGAGCAAACGGTGCTGCTTCCTACCTTTGCTGAAACTGCCTGCTGCCTAGAATGCCCCGCACCCACAACCCCACCCCAAGCCAGCAAAGATCCCACCTCCCACCTATGCCTCCTTCTCTGACAGTGGGTTTCCCATCTGTAGCAGATTCCACTAAAAGCCTGGAGAAGCCTCAACCTTAATTCAGGTTCTGAAATTTTATTTTTACCTGAAACTGGATTAGTCGGAACACTCGTAAGTCAAGGCCCCACTGTATTGATAGAAGACCAATGTGTGGCAAAAAAAACATTAGCTTCATTATCATAGCTGATAATCAGAATATTATTTTCTAGTAGATGGGAAAGATTAGGAAATATCAAAGTTTAATGTTTTTCATATCTAATAAGGGAGGGAGGTCTAGGGAGGCGGATATTGTTTCACATTTCAATTAATAAATTGAGACTGTTTAGTGACTTAAAAGCAACCATAGCATTGGGCTCTTAACCTAAACTTGGCCAGAAATTTTTGAGGCCTGTGCCAGTTTTTATTCAGGGACAGGGGAAGAATAAAAACCTTAAGGAGGATAATCCTATATAATAAAAGCCTAATATGCAAATCAACTGAACGGCAGAACAACAGGTCAGCGAGTGGGTGGCACCAGGCCAGCCAAGGCGGGTGCCAGCCAGCAGAGGGAGGGGACAGTGATTGGGGGGTGGCGGCAACTGGTGGCAGCGGGGCAATGGGAGGCGGGGCCAGAGCTGTCCCCTGGTGGTCAGTGCGCTCCCACAGGGATGTCCATGGGGAGCAGGCCTGAGCCATCAGTCAGATATCCCCTGAGGGCTCCCAGACTGTGAGAGGGCGCAGGCAGGGACACCCCTCCCCCGCCCCCCAGTGCATGAATTTTCATGCACCGGACCTCTAGTAACAACATAAAAATCATTTTATATACATTCAATCAATAACAATTAGGTGATTATAAGAGCAAGGTTTGAGCAGCGTCAATTTGTGAACATCATTTTCCCCTTTTGGCTCAGTATCTGGTTCACTTAGTTCTAAATACATATTACTCTTCTGAAAAAAACATATGTGGGCAACACTGATTTTAAAAATCTCTCCTATCAGGTGAATTGGGGCCAATTTGACCAGTAAAATATGTTGCCCCTTAACATTGGTTGGTTAGATACCCCTACCATTTGTACAGAAACTTTACCCCGAGGGAGAGGGAAACTTAGATGGGCAGGTTAAGAGCAGATAAGGTAGCCCCAGTATTACAAAGAAATTATGGGAGAATAAAATTTGCATTATAATAACATTCTACAAGCCACACTGTGAGGGCAGAAATATTAATCATGCGCTGTTAACCATGTTAACGTAAAACAAACAAACAAACAAACAAAAAACAACAACATTCCAAGCTGTAAAGAATTTTTGTGAGTATTTGAGCCAAACTGTCGACAATTGCCGGGAAGCAGACTCTCAATGGGTAATTTCAATTTCTCCTAAAGTATTAGTAAGGAGAAGGAGAAAATACCCTCTCATAGTCCTGAAGCAACCCTATGTTTGCTTCTGTTTTCTCTTTGTAAATAACACTTCAGTTTGTTTTTTTTCTATAATCTTTTTTATGGTGACCTGGCTTTTTATAGCAAAAGATTCCTTTACAGTTTCACAGACCTTACTTAGTAATTCTGCTGCCTTGCTCTTAGAAACCAGTAGGTGTATTAATTGGAATAGGTCAGAATAGCCAGGATTACATGTTCTAACAGTTAAATTTTTGTGAATCCATCAGGATCCCAGATAAAGTCGGGAACAATTGCCAGCTCCTCTCTAGCTGAGACCAGTTTTTTTCCAAAAGGAGCTATTGGAATTCCTATTCTCATTTTCCTTCAAGTCAGTGGCAGCAGAGGAGATGGAAGGAAGAAGAGAGAGGAAAGGGCAAGTTCAGACAAGGAAGCTTAGAAAGGAAGAGGGAAAAATGGGGTGTAGGCATTTATTAGCTTCAGAATAGTTCCAGGACAATCTCTAAAATTTTGTATTCCACTTTTTTGAATAATTTTTTCTATGCTTCTCCTTAGAAGCTTCTAATTGCCAAATCAAGATATGCTTCCCATATAGTCATTCAGTTTAATTTTAGAGCTGGCATTTTTCTAATTTTTTTGCATGCAAAATATTAATTTAGGTACCCAAAGACAACTGCATTTTGGCCATTTTTAAGTTCATATTTTCTAATGAAATCTTCCCATTTCTGTAAACCACTTGCAAGTAAAGGCTTCCTATCAGGAGTATTAACTGAGGGCTGGGGTTTGGGAGTTTCTGGACTTGGGAGCACAATTTCCCATGTTACTTTTTTTTAATGTTTATTTTTGGGTATCTGTAGTCTGAGCAAATTTTCTAGGGATGTCATGTAGAGGGTCGAAGTGTGCTGCTTATGGGTTGAACTCCATGAGGCTCTCACCCCTCGAGGCAAAATTCAACCCTTTATGTGCCTCAGTTTCTCTCCCAGCTGTCCAAAACAACAGGAAGGGCCTGGGGCCCTGGCAGATCGAGCCTTATGGGGGCCCCCTGGATGAGCCAGTTAGTTAATTACAATTGAATTAGGACTTCCCTGTGGGGCTCCTGCACGTCCTGAGGAATGACCTCTGACACCTCCATAAAGATTCTTAGTCACCTAAGAACACCCGAGAATCGGGCTGGAGGGAGGATGTGCCCCTTTATCTTCAGAGCTGAATGAGTTCAGCTCATTTATATGGCAAAGGTTGTTTTTTGCTCAGACTCAGAAAGCAATTCCAACTGAAAAGCCAAAATCAAAACCAGCCACCCATTTTTTTCCTCCAGTCTCACCTTAGCCTGAGTTCAGTCAACCCTTAACCTTAGTTCCACCTCAAGGATTTAAAAATACAGCTCAAATAAAGTCAGACCCTCTACCAAAGCAAGGGAAGGTCCCAGGTCCAAGAAACAACTCACCCAAGTTCACCCAATTGGGGGAGGGGGAGGGGGAATTGGCAGGCTCAATGGGCCCCTTGCACCAGGTCCAGGTCTTCGGGATGGTCCTGGGTGAGAGTCTGGAATCCTGCCGACTACGCCAAGTAATGTTAACATAAAAAACCTTTCAAACCTGTAAAGAATTTTTGTGAGTTTATTTGAGCCAAACTGTTGACAATTGCCAGGAAGCAGAATCTCTACATATTGGGATAATGCTCTGGAGAATGATGGTTTTCGCCTTGTTTTATTCATTATAATCAAAGAGAAATACTTAAGTGGGTTACATGAAATCCATGGTGATAGATTAGGGAGGTGGGAGGAAGCAAAGCGGGCAAACCTCTGGGATTGGATAAAATGTAAGCTCTGGAGAATGATGGTTTTCGCCTTGTTTTATTCATTATAATCAAAGAGAAATACTTAAGTGGGTTACATGAAATCCATGGTGATAGATTAGGGAGGTGGGAGGAAGCAAAGCGGGCAAACCTCTGGGATTGGATAAAACGTAAAATGATAGACACTTCTTTTACACAGGTGGGTACAGGATAGTTAACAGTCAACAATTAAGAAGATAACAATAACAATGAAGGAATTTGTGGTCTCCTGTCCTGGCACCCTGACCCATTGGTTGTGCCCTGAAGGGTCCAGAAAAAGGGAAATTACAAATTACCCTGACATTCCAATGATATATTATCATAGATGCAAAAGACAACAGACAGGCTTAGTTAAGGTAAAGATTGACCTTTGTCAGGGAAGATACCAGCCTAGGACGTGACTATCCACTATAACTGCTTTTAGTTAAAGGTTTTTTTCTTTCTTTCTTTCTTTCTTTTTTGTTTTGTTTTGGTGTTGTTGTTGTTAATCCTCACCTGAGGATATTTTTCCATTAGTTTTTTAGGGAGAGTGGAAGAGAGAAAGACAGAGAAACATCAATGTGAGAGTAACACATTGAATGGTTAACACATTGAATGGTTGCTACTGCACACACCTGAGCAGGGCCCAGGCTGGGGAGGAGCCTGCAACCAAGGTACGTGTCTTTGACTGGAATCGAACCTGGGACCCCGTGGTCCACAGGCGGATGCTCTATCCACTGCGCCAAACTGCAAGGGCAGTTAAAGTTTTAATTTCAGACCATCCTTTGGTTACTTTAGGTCTTGGAGTGTGTGTTCAGACCATCCTTTGTGGTTACTTTAGGTCTTAGAGTATGTAAGACCGCCATTCAGGCCTTCCCTGAGCTTGTCAGGTTAGCATGTGGCCCCTTTTTGTCTACAACACCTAGTATGAAAGTTAGCACACAGTAGGGAACAAGTGGCAAGAAGACATCAAGCTTTCACAATGTGATGTATTTACTTCACTGTCTGCTGATCAGTCGAATGCACATAGATGTAGCTGAGCCACTTTAAGCCATGCAATTGCCAGCACATAAACACATGCTAGCTCATCCCTCCGGCTGAGTCCTCAGGGGTATTTAAGTCCCAGTGTGGCCTCTGGTTGTTCCACCTGCTCTGGCCAGTTCCCCCTGACCCTTCCCTGCTGCTCTCCTCCTTCCTTATCCCTCCTCCCTCCCTCCCTCCCGTTCTCCTTCCTTCCCTCTTTCCCTGATGCTCTCCTTTCCCTCCCAAATCTGTGCTGTTTGGTAGATTCAAACAGACCTGGCTTAGCGGCTTTGTGACCCTGAAAAGAGGCTCAACCTCTCCGAGCTTCCATCTCCCACTTGCAAAGCAGGGCTCCCTAATAGTTGTAGCTGGTAACCACGGGCTGGCCATGCAGCCAGCTCCCCATGCAGCCAGCTCCCCATGCCAGGCTCTGGGTGACACTTGGCATGCATTAGACCTCATTATTCCTCACCGCAGCTCTCGAGGTAGGTACGGCCATTACCCCATTGGACAGATGGGGAAAGTGAGGCTGAAAGAGGCGAGGTAAGTTACCCAAGCACAATCTGAGCAGAATTGGGATGCGATCTGGGTCTGTCTTTCTCCACCAATTTCAGGCTCGTGAAAATCCACAGGACTGCTAGCTGGCTTCCCTCCTCCCCTCCTTCTGAGATGGTGGCAAAGAAGGGAAGGGACAGTCAAGACAGATGGCAGGTTCACAGAAGCCTAAACACGTGGGCACTACTGGAGGTGCTTGGCATTCCTCCTTGTTTCATGCAGGCTGCATTTCACCACTCAGGACTCCGGGACTCCGTGACAGTAGAGACCCATGAAGGCAAAGACCAGGGCATCTGCTTCTCTGGGCGGGAAGCACAGGTGCTTGGCAGACGGCTGGGCGCAGTGCAACTGTGAAGGCTCAGGGGCCTGGGGGAAGGGGACAGTGGCGACGAGTAGGGACAGGACAAGTCCACAAGCAAACGAACCAAGGTGCCGTGGGCTAGAGAGAGATACGCGGAGCCCTGTGGGAGCAGAGGAGGGAGCGGGGAGGGTGGCTTCCTCAGAGGGTCATCTGCTGACACCATCATGTACCATGTCCTGCGTTAGGCTCTTTGACTTCATCTTATTTAATTCTCACAAGAGAGGAAACCAAGCTCAAAGTCAACGCCCTTGAAAAGCCGCTGAGCTGGGATTCAAATCCAGATCTGTCTGGTTCTGACACCCATGCCCTGTGCCCCTTACAGGCCGCCATCTGAGGGGACGCCCACTCAGGTCTCAAAGAAAGACGTCCAGAATAAATGAATCACTTTCAGAGAAAAGTGAAAAAACACATTCTCCCAAAATCTCACATCATAACCGCCCGGAAAAGCAAACATGAAGGTCACCGGGGACACAAGCAGCCTGAGAAGAGCCATTGGAGCAAATCAGCTGCTCCCACACCTGGTGTCCTGCTCTCCCCACCAGCAGGACAATGAGAGTCCAGAACTGCTGCTGCTGGTTCCTTCCAGGGAGGCCTCTCACCTTCAGGGTCTTCAGGGCGGCTTCACTCTTTGAGTCTCAGCTTTGCTTTTTATACTGCAAGACAGAGAGGTCATTAGAAGTGGGTGAGGAAAGCCAATGCGAGAGGGAGGACCAGGGAAAGGCTGAGAATGGTGGTCATCTAGGCCTCAGCTGCCCCCACAGGGACTTCTTGAAAGTGGTGGAACCCAGGCTGCTGAATCTAGTTGGTGCCTGGATCCCCCCTTTCTTCTTTAGTGGAAAAGGTAGCTGATGGGGTTGGAAGGAAAGATAAGAAAGACACTGGGGAACTAGAATTAAACACAGTGGCATGTCCATCAGGCTGCTGAATCTAGTTGGTGCCTGGATCCCCCCTTTCCTCTTTAGTGGAAAAGGGGGTTGGGAGAAAGGATAAGAAAGACACTGGGGAACTAGAATTAAACACGGTGGCATGTCCATCGTTCCCTTTAAGATGAGCCTTGTTTGGAGGGAGGAAAAACCTCAGGCAGAGGCAGAACCTCAAAAGCCATCTAGTCCAATCACTGAGTTTAAAAAAATGAATCCTGGGCCCAATAACTGGAGTTTCTGACTGAGAAGGACAGAGGAGTGGGGCATGCTTTCGCTCTCTAGGTTTTCTAACCAAAGTGTAAGGACCAGCAAGCCAGCCTATGTTACTGACTCTCTTTCTCCACCAAAACAGGCACTTGAACGTTTCCTCACTAACCTGCCTCAGTGGGAAAACCTGCAGAGACAGAGCTCACTACCCACCCCAAGACAGCTCTTTCTTCACAACACTGTTGTCAGCTTTGTCATATTGTTTCCGGTAAGACTGCTCTCTTCCTTCTTCCTGCTGCACCATCTCACTCTCCCATTGATGTTTCCTTTCTCTGTCTCTCCCCCTCCCCCCACCTTCACCCCTCTCTAAAAATCAAGGGGAAAAATATCCTCGGGTGAGAATTAACAAAAAAATAAATTTGTCTTTAGGGATTGAGGGTGTCCCCCTGCCCCCTCAAACACAACAAACACACAAATACAATCAGAAGGGCATCTGCCATCACCTTTTGGCTCCTGGAGGTGGGGAGCAGTGAGACTCTTCTCAATGTGGAGCAGAAGCGACCCCTGCTGGTCATCGAGATTACAGCTCACAGGTATAGGTAGGAGCCAAGCACTTACTTTGTTCATGATCCAGTCAGCATCTTCAATGGCTCTTTTAATAATCTGCTGGATTCTCTCAGGATTGTCTTCATCTGAATGAACCCGGAAACTCTGAAAGTTTAAGCATAAAAAAAAGATGGTGGCAAAATTCACAGGACCGGCAGCTTCAGAGCACCAGTCACAGGCCAGGCACACTGTGGGCACTTTATACTCAGCATCTCTCTTACCCTCCCTCCGTAAGAGTTATGATTCCACATAGAGATGAGGAGAACTGCTGCTAAGCCAGTGGTTCTCAACCTTCTGGCCCTTTAAATACAGTTCCTCATGTTGTGACCCAACCATCAAATTATTTTCGTTGCTACTTCATAACTGTAATGTTGCTACTGTTATGAATCGTCATGTAAATATCTGATATGCAGGATGGTCTTAGGCGACCCCTGTGAAAGGGTCCTTTGACCACCAAAGGGGTCACGACCCACAGGTTGAGAACCGCTGTGCTAAGCAATGGTGTCAGCATTTGAATTCTGGTCCATTCAACTGCATAGCACATACTCTTGCCAGCAGGGCAGTTATGAAATGGAAGACTGGTCCCTAAGTTACCACCCAAATCAAGCTGGACCCAAAGGTTATCAGGTGGGGGCAAGGGTGATGGAGGGCCTAGGGGAAATTTCCATCACTGTTTCTTTGCTCCTCCCAGGAAGCTGCTTTCACTAGGGGGAGATGTCTGCATGGCTTCACCACCGGGAAGAATAGGGCTTCTCCGGCCCATGCTGGAAAGCCACGCAGAGAAGGCAGGGGCCGTGGGAGGGTGGTGTGGGAAATCCAGCCAAGCCCCGTGCAGACCCCAGGCTGCTGTTTGCTTCTGGCCAGATGTTCACCCTCGAGGAGCAACGTGAGATTCCGGTTCATTCAGGACAATCGGGCACTGGTGCCTCCTCTGCCCTGTTGCTCTCGACCCCACACACCCTCCTTGACTTTAGGAGCATCTCAAGTGCTCACCTCTGGGAAGTCCTCCCTGACTCCCTCACACAACTCACTGTTCCCTTCTCCATGTTTCCACAGCCCTCTGTTGCTTCCTCTATCGTTTCCAGTTTCCACATTATATTTGTATTAATTTTAGTTTTTAACTTTTTATTTGGAAATCATTTCTAACCTGTAGATAAACTGCAAGAATAATACAAAAGAGTTGCCTTCAGAATCACCAGGTGTTAACATTTTGCCACAGTGGCTTCACTATTCTCTCTTCATGTGTTTGCATTAAACTCTTGGGAGCACTTAAAAGTTGCAGACAAGCCCTTCACCCCCAAACACTTGGGTGTGTATTTCCTAACAACAAGGGCATTCTCTTAATAACAGTACTCAAATTCAGAACATTTCACATGGATACAGTACTAGTGTATCTATCCAATTCACAGCCCAAATGCCAACTTCATGAATTTCCCCCAACAATGTCCTTTATAGGAATTGTTTCTCTGGTCCAGGATCCCATCTGGAATCATGCGTTACATTTCGCAGTCACACCTGTAAACCAGAGCAGCTCTGGTGCCTTCCTCTGTGTTTCCCGACATCGATGTGTTTGACAAGAACAGGCCAGTGATGTGGTGGACGGTCCCTCGGTTTGGGCTTACCTGATGTTTGCTCATGGTTAAAGTCAGGTGTGCTTTGTCGACAGAGACCTCTGTCACAATGAGGATGTGCCTATTTTAATTATCCATTTGGCTGCCTATTTCAAGGCTTGGCACAGAGCTGGGGGGCTGGATGGCACATCCATCCTCTGTTTTCTCAACAAAAACCAGAGAGAAGAGCTGGGCTGCCCAGCACTGATACCCAGTGGCTCTTACTAAGCTGCCACCCCCACCGCCTGAAAGACCATCCCTGCCCCTGACCCCTGACCCTCTGATAGGCCCTCTATCAGAGGAATCTCCCCCACGCCCAGGCCCAGCATCCCCTGCTCCCACCTGCCTGACAGCGTGCCTGTAATGCTCCTGGATGCCCTTGGTGGGCAGCTGTCGGCAACAGCGCAGCAGGTATCGGTAGAGCTGCAGAGGCGTCTGGACCAGCTCTGCCCCCGGTAGCGGGGCCATCTGCAAGGCTATCTGTCCCTGGAAAACACAGAGCATCACATCTAAGGCATCAAGCCAATGCCCAGTCCTGGCCCCCGGGTTCCAGCGCTCTGTGAAAGAGGCTTGATAACAGCACAGAGGCCAGGTCGCGGTTATACCACACCCCTCGGAACCCAGACCCTGAGCTCTGGCTGTGCATTCAGTCTTGCAGGCGTCTCAGCCCAGAGCAGGCGACAAGGAACACAAGTGAGATGTTCAGCCTCATCTTCTTTCTGAGCACCAACTCCAGGTGGCGGGCAAGGAGGAGTCACTGACAGGCGGCAGAGGGGAGACAAGCAGGAAAATCACGTGTCACAATTGCTAAGGAATCATCTAACCTCAAGCAACAGTGGGCAGGATGAAAGGTTCGAGCCTCGCTACTCAAAGGGTAGCCGGAAGCATCGACATCACCTGAGAGCTTGTTAGAAATGCAGATCCTCAGGCCCCACCCCAGACCTACAGACAGAACCTGCGTTGTAACAAGATGTCCAGGAGAGTCACATGCAGTTAAAGTTTGAGAAACACGATTCCAGAGGACTCTACGTAAAGAAGCAGCTACATAAAAAGTTGTCATGATACACGTGATTTCACTTTCCTGTATGTTAGAAATAGGAATAATAATGAGCTCTTGCCCTGGCAGGGTGGCTCACTTGGTTCAAGTGTTGCCCCATACACCAGAGAGTGGCAGGTTCAATTCCCAGTCAGGGCACATAACTGGGTTCGATCCCCAGTCAAGGCACATACAGGAAGCAACCGATCAATGTTTCTCTGTTTCTTTTCTCTCTCTCTCTCTCTCTCTCTCTCTCTCTCTCTCTCTCTCTCATCAATAAACATATCCTCAGGTGAGGATTAATAAATAAAATAATAATGAGCTCTTATTCTGTCCTATTCGCTTTACATGTGATTAATGCACGCATTTTAAAAAAATCAAGCACCAAAAAAAAAAAAAAAAAGAAAGAAAAAAATCAACACAGAAAGGTCTGATAAGGATAGAGCTGAGATTTGAACCCAGACAGGTTCCAGAGCCCACCTCTTCTTTTTATTAAACCTTTAGAGCTTTATTGATATGTAATTAACATACAATCGACATATTTAAAGTGTACACTTTGATAAGTTTCGACATATGTATACACCTAAGAAACCATCATCAAAAGCAAAAGAGTGAACATCTCCATCACCCACACAAATTTCCTGCAGCCTCTTTGTAATCCCTCCTCCTGCCCTCGCCACTCCCCCATCCCAAAGCAACCTCTGCTTTCTGTCACTACAGATTAGTTTGCATTTTCCTGAGTTTTACATAAAAGGAATCATACGTCATGTACTCCTTTGTGTCTGCAGAACCCATATTTTTAAGCTCTGTATAATCATGTCTCTCTCCAAAGAACCTGTAACTCTAATTTGGCCTCTTATTTTTTGAAGAAGGAAACTCAACTAAGAGCACAGATTCCAGCCCCCCCAATGATAGAATCTAGAACATAAGCATTTGTTAAGCTTCCATTAAGTGCCTCGCAGCCCATAACAGTAGCTCCTCTATGCTCACTGCGCTGTAGGCTCCTGCCTGGACCTCTGCCACTGCATCTTGCCTGTGTTCCTGCCTCTGCCCGTCATGTCCCAGTCTCCTCCACACTGAGAAGGTCTGCAAGGACCTTCTCCCAGATCCCCCAAAACCACAAGTCAGTCACCTCTTGGTGCCTTTGCACATGCAGCTGCCTGAGCGTGGAGCTCCTTCCCCTCTCCATGTGAGGAACTCATGTTTATCCTGCCAGGCCCAGCTCGATGTCACTTCTTCTGGGAAGCCCTTCCTGACTGTCCCTCCGGTGGGAGGGGGGGTGGGGGGAGCAGTACCCTGTTTATGGAGCTGGTACAGTGCTTCCCACATTGCCAGGATTCATGCGCTGCCAGGCCTGGGCAGCCTGGCCCAGGCCCCAGTGCTTCGTGCCCTGTTTACTGAACTGGACTGAATGGGATCTGTTATCTCCTCTGTCCAGATTTCCCCTCTGTGACAGAGAAGCTCACTATGCTCCAAATGAAGGAGCTAAAAGACCAAGATTAAGTGACTGGCCTTGGTTTTCAATCTATCAGAGGTCCTTAAACTGAGAAAAGAAACTCATTAAGTAGCTGGTTTCAGAGGCTCCTTCATTCCATTTCCAGCATATCTTCCTGGCAACAAAAAATGTCCATCTCCACAGCTAAGTTTCCCATTTGCTCCTGGTGCTCCGGGCTCTCGCTCTGACACTGGGGCAGGTAGGTGGTTGTCTGCCCCCACCACCCATCTGGTAACAGCCCCATATGTGTGGCTGGTGATCCCGTGAGGCCAGGTCACAGCCCACAAGGTCTGGGTGGAGCTCCACTCCAAGTCTGGCCAATCAGAGACCTGCATCCACGTGGTGGCAGGGATTGGTTCACAGCTGGGCACATGAAGGAAGCTGAGTGAATCTCAACACGTCTACAGGAGTGACTAGACCTGATGGTGAGAGGACTCATCCTCTCTCAGGGAAGCCATCTTGCCTCCTCTTGACGCTGGAGACTGAAGCCACAAAAGGCAGAGCTGAGAACCAAGTCTGAAGAATTCATTTGAGCCCTAAAACCATTCACTAGAAGGCAGTCCCACCCCTAGACTTTGCAATGATCCAAGACAATTAATCCCATTTGCCAAAGCAGCTTGGGTTTGTTTTGTCACTTGCAGCCAAAAGAGTTGAAACGGATCGAAAAATCTTAATCTCCCAAATTCTACTTCCATGATGAACTGTGATGGTTCTACAGAAGAGTGCAAACAGGGCGGGGTTCCCCAAATATCAACCTGCCAGTCTCACCAGCCACACTTCGGTCCAACACACTGAGGGGAACCCCATACAATGGGGCAAAGACCTTCAAGTACCACCGGAGAGGACATACCACTGAAGCCCTCAACCTGATGGGCAGATTCCACTGGCAGGCTTCCCCAAACTATATAAAGTGCTAATCAAATATTGTAAAATGCTAGTGGTGTAACAGATGGTTACCAGCTGCAGTCTTCAAAATTAACATTTGGAAAGAGCACAACTTAGTTTCATTACTTAAAAACCCAAGCAATACTTAGAAACCAACCCAGCAAGTATGGGCGGGAGACTATTTTCAGCTCAATTATCATTCTCAGTCCTTCCCAGTAATAACTGGCAGAGAAGGCATGTGTGGGTCCACTCAGAAGAGTTAAACTAAACATGTCTCAATTTAATTTAAAGTGTGGGTTTGCTATGATTTAAGGGGCAGTGAACCTCACGGCATCATTGCTAAAACTGTAGTCAAACCCCGTGGCCCTGGGAATGCTCGCTTGGCACATCCTTACTCCTCGGACTGGACCCCTCCACCTGGGCTCCCTGCCTCTGTGAAAACATCACTATCAGTGGTCGGCAAACTCATTAGTCAACAGAGCCAAATATCAACAGTACAACGATTGAAATTTCTTTTGAGAGCCAAATTTTTTAAACTTAAACTATATGGGTAGGTACATTGTTATTAACTTAATTAGGGTACTCCTAAGGCTTAGGAAGAGCCACACTCAAGGGGCCAAAGAGCCGCATGTGGCTCGCGAGCCGCAGTTTGCCGACCACGGTCCTAGGCAACCAAACCAAAACCATCACAGAGCCAGACTCCTCCTCCTCCCTCTACTCCTATGTCACTGGTCTCAAAGTCCTACCAAATCCTACACCTAAATGCCCCTCAAGTCTGTCCCCTCCTATTTCCATTGTAAGAGCCTTGGTTAAAGCTCATATCTTAGCTCACAGGGACAACTCCCAGAGTTCCCAGCAGGTCTCCCTGTCTTCCTAGCTATTCTTCACTCAACAGCCAGAGTGAATCTTTCCAAATGTGACCCTCAGCATGTCTCGTTCCTGAAAAAAACCCTAATAGCCTCCTTTACCCCCCTATCACTCCTGATACAACTCCCAGAGTTCCCAGCAGGTCTCCCTGTCTTCCGAGCTATTTTTCACTCAACAGCCAGAGTGAATCTTTCCCAATGTGACCCTCAGCATGTCGCGTTCCTGCCTAAAACCCCTAATAGCCTCCTTTACCCCCCTATCACTCCTGACAACTTTCCCCAAAATGTGGGACAAACATGCAATTATTTTAAGCAGTATAGGGATCAATGTCTTTTTATTGTAACGATTTTATGTTTATTTTCATGTGTAATGAGAAAAATCCCACAATTTCATAAGTATTATGGCAAAGTGAGAGTGGGAGAGCTTTGTGGAGTTCATTGATTCAGTTAGCTCTGCATACATCAAGGAGAAAAAAATATATATCTTTTTTTCCTTTTAAATCAAACAAAAGATCAGGTGACGTTTATTTAGCTCTTTCCCAACTCAGAACTGAGTTCTGGTTAGTCATCCTGTCGCCTTTCATGAATTAGAAAGTTATAAAAACACCTCAGGGAGTGTGGCTTGCCTCACAGTAGGCTCTCAGGAAACGGTGTTAACTGAATGAACAGAAAAACAGTCCCATGTAGGCAGTCTTTCAAAACCAGAATATCGAAGAGCTGAGAGCCACCTTCTCCCATCCAGTGTGAAGAAATCTCTCCTCCACATCCTTGGCAGCCCGAGCTGTCAGAAATTCCTTTTGGTTCTGGGCTAAGATCTGCTCTGAAAAATTCTACATATTAGTCTGACCTCTGTCTCTTGGGGCTAACGTCTCTGGTGACCTACCCGCAAGTCCAGTCTTTCATTATTCAAAGTCAATCGCCCCAGCCATTCAGTCGTTTCTTTTCCAAGATAACCATCCTGCTATGATCCCCCAGTGCTTCTCCAACCCACTCTGGACACACACACACCCTCATTATCGATCCCAGCCTCAAAACCACGGTTTGCTTGTGTTCTGACCAGCTCTGTGGGCACTGGTACCTGCTACGACATGGGTGAACCTTGAAAACATGACTCGGATGGCAATGTCACCTTTCTACTTGGGAATTCAAGGAATGCAACTTAGCATTCTCTGTTTTAGCTTACCTGGCCCTGGCATTCAGCTGGAAGGTACCTTTATTTCCATGAACTATTCTTTTTTGTTTTCCATGAACTATTCTTAAGTCTCTTTCCCCATCTTTACTAGTTCGGTCCAGAGTCACTGGGGTGTGCCACAATCTCTGGGGTGCCTGATCCTGTCTGTTATCCAATTCAACTCAATTCAGCACAACAATAGCACAATCACATATCAGGTACAAATGGGGTACAAAGAGAGAGATTAAAGCCAGCAAGCTGTGTCAGTAACCCATACACCGCCATTCAGAGCAGCTAATATGTGTGTGGCTCTGGATTCAGCCCTGGGACCAAAGATGAAAGGCTTGACATTTACTGATGGATAAACAAAACATGGTACCTTCATACAATGGATTATTTTATAATTAAAAAGAAATGAACTACTGATACATGCTATAACATGGGTGAACCTTGAAAACATTACTCTAGGTGAAAAAAGCTAATACCAAATATTGTATGATTCCATTTATGCGAAATGTGCAGAATAGGCAAATCTATAGAGACACAAAGTAGCTCAGTGCTGGCTAGGGCTGGAGGGA